CAACTCAAGAACCCTTTCCATTGGGCCCTGTAAGAACGCATGGCATAGCAGAAACAAAAGCCCATATATCCTCACCCTCTTCTCTGAACATTCCTCTTGCCCTGACTTGGTGTTTCTCAACTCTGACTGTACTGCGGAATCACCTTGGGAGATTCTTAAAACTCCCAGCAGCCCAGCCTCATCACCCCATGTCAAAATTTCTGGGAGTGGGTCCCAGGCCTTGGCAGGTTCAAACCTCCCACAGATGATCCCACTGTGTGGCCCACAGTGAAGAATACCTGGCTGACTGAAACTCTGTTCTCCCTTCAAGGGCTGCTCCCCAGAGAGAGCTTCTCTTGTTGCAGGATGGGGAATGGGGATGGGGTGAGGGGAGGCTATTGCTTTCCCACAGCTCTGGCCTCACTGGGACTAGAAGAGCAGGACTGCTCCTCATTGCCACCTCCAGCACATTCGATCTCTCTTCCCTAAAATCTGCCTTTCCAAGTCTCAGACAGTTCCTCAAACATAGCAGGAACTCTTGCATTTGCTTTTTCTGTACATTAAAGCTCTGTGTCCCTAAGTCACTGAAAAAGAAAGATCCACTTGTTTCTTTAAAACTTATTTCATTGGTCACCTCATTCCTTCCATGAGCCTTTGTAGTCTCTCTAAGCTTAAAGGTATTAATCAAAGGCTTCTTTGACAGCACTTTCACCATACAGTACCATTTTGGTACATATTGCATTGCCAGAGAGGAGCACTTGCTGTTACAAGGTGAAAATTCGTGGTATAAACAGTAAAATTCTGAGTATATTAGTCAACAGGTAGCCCCAACTCATCAAATGTGATATTCACATAAAATGAAAGACAAAACTTTATATCTCCCAAAATCATTTTTTCATTTAAAGATATTTAAAGATATCACAACTGCTAAAAGAAATGTGGCATAAGATACATGCTATTAAAGAGATTTCACTGCTGATGTAGCAAATAGTCCCTTAGCAGAGAACTGAGCTGCAGATTAAGTTAAGTGGCATGTTATTCAGTGCATATCCACATAGACAGTGAGATAATAAGCTTAACTCTCAGTTTAACATTGATCCAGATGAAACAGTTTACTCTCATTGCTTTTTGATTATTTATGCTATGAATTAGTCTTTTTTTTTTTTTAATGTCACCACTCTGAGCTGAGCCAGAAGACGATGTCCTGGACTCTACTCTTTCTACAGGAAAACATGAAACACAATTCACTTTATTCTTTATATATTAAATTAGTCCTTTATCTTACCTATAGTATGAACAATAGAATGATCTGTTTCTTTGAATTTGTTCCTTTTCCTAACTCTGGGGCCCTGTTTGTATAACTTGATCCAGATGTTCACATCACAGTGAAGCTTGGTGTAAGTAGAAGCCAGTTAAACTGCACTTTCTGCTGAAAAACTATACTTCATTTCTCTCACTTGATAGACTTAGATATACCTTTGGTAGATGCAGAAACTACAAACACATACACAAATGCTTGAGTATATATACTTATGTTTGTACACATATCTGCAAGTGTACTCATTTTTCTTTTATACTCATAAACTGGAAACATATAACTATGGATTAGCCAAATAGTTTTAAAAATAGAGTTCCTTTGTAGGGAACAAAACATTTTCTTATTTATTACAGGCTAGTCTTGCCACCTATTGACTTAAATAACACAAAATTTTTAATCCAAAAATAATCTAAAAGCTTTATTTTTTTAAAGATGTACTTATTTATTTGAAATGCAGTTAGAGAGAGAGAGAGAGAGAGAGAGAGAGAGATGTTCCATCCACTTATTCACTCCCCCAAATGGTGGCAACAACTGGGGCTGGGCCAGGGTGAAGTCAGGAGCCAGAAGCTTTATCCAGGTCTGCCACATGAGTGCGGCAGCTCAACCCATTGTGCCACAACACTGGCCCCTAAATTTAAGCGTTTTGATCTCTTTCAGAGCTACCAGCAAATACCATGATTTTAATTACAACAGGCTTCCTGGTTTCCCCCCTAGGTCTCCTGGAAATGGTAGTACAGTCGAAGCCCCTTCAAAAAAATCTCTGTAGGTCTAAATACATGTGAGTACTTTAAAAAGTTCATGGAAACCTGGAATTAAAAGATAAGCTTATTTTAGCACAAAACCAATTTGAAACCCATGCATAATTTTCCATAATATACATTTCCATGTATGCATGGATTTTGAAAATGCTTCGCACCAAAAAAACTTACCTTTTAGTCCTGTGTCCACGAACTTTTTAAAGTACCCCCAGATTTCCAAAATCAGGTCAATGATCTATGTGGAGCAAAGAACATTCAACAGGTGTGTGACAGTGCAAAAAAAAAAAATAATCCATGGTGTTGAAGTTCTCTGGAAAGAAACTTCCTATGAGGTGGTAAACGTCACGTGACAGTGTGCAAGAAGGAAGGAAACAGGACAAAGAGAAAACATGGAGAAGCCAATAATCCCAAGCTCATGTGTAGTACACCATCAGTTTTCATCTCTTCTAGGGAAAACTATTAGAACAACATATGAAATTGAACTTTAATCACGTAACACACACAGATAGAGTGACCGATGAGAAAGGTGTGGAAGTGCTCACAGCAATACCTTAAGGCTGGTATATAACAGTGCTTCTTAACCACTGAACCCTGGGGATATTAATAGGTATTTCATAAATGAAGAAACGAATGGTCGCATGAGCAAGGGTATTGTCAGCTGTAACAAAATTGACCAGCCTTCTTTACTATAGGACTTCAAAGCCTTGAGTAGGCTCATACACACCATCAATCTCCCAGAAGAGGTGCAGGGGCAGCAGCCTGCAAAGCCCTATTAATTTCTACCAGATACTGTTTCATCACAAGTAGTTTAGCAAAGACTAGAATATATAGTGTGTCCCATACAGCAGGTCAGTGAGATGCTCCTAGAGTTAGTATCAGGAATTTGACATGGCACAAAGACTAAATACAACCATGAACTTACTACTCAGACTCCATATATTAAATAGATGTGGATCCCACCTACAGAAGACAAAAGTAGAAAACTGGGAAGATATTTTCTGCCTCCACTTCTTACACACCTGTTCCTGCAGTATGAAATCTCCATAGCTAGGCAGCTGAGCTAGAGGCCTGGGCTGAGTGCCAGGCTCACTGTTTACACTGTGATGGGAAATCTGGTAGACAAAGAAGCAGACTCATTCATTAACAGTGACTTGAGAATTTCCAGTCCCCCTGTCAGGTCCTAGGTCACTAAGCCCCAAAGCAGGCAGGAAGCCCACCTCCAGCAGCTCTGATGTGGACTGCTGATAGCAGCAGCACATTTCATGACCAGGAAGGAACTATTGTCATTTGTGCAGTGGGAGAAAGATAAGGAGGTTGGTTACAGAAGCGCTTTCACACAGGTCCTTCCCACATTCATCTAGGTGGCTCCCAAGCCCCAGGATTGACATAAGCAGCTGGCAGATAAGCACCTCCAGAATGTCTGCTAATTTTGTTGTGAGGAAGTCCAGGTTTGTGGTTGGAGCAAAGCAAAAGCCTCATCTCATCTAGATCTTCCTTAGTCAGAGGTAAAAGCCTCAATTGCAAGTGCAGTGGATCTTCTGTCTTGTTGCATATGTAGACTCTGGACCCAGTGGTGCAAAGAGGAGGGGCCTTTAGGAGACAGATGTCAGTCTGAGAGCTGGTTCCAGCACCTACTAGCTATACCACTTTGCAAGACTTGCCTAATCCCCCGTATGCTACCATTTCCTCATCTATTTAAAAAAAAGGATAATATTAGCATCTGCTACTCCCTAAAGTTTCTGTGAAGACTGAATAATGCCTTGAAAGCACTTAGCACAATGCCTGGTCTACCATGGATGTTTAATAAACACAGTCAATAATTTGAACAAGCAGAAATTATACCCAAATAAAGGGTTAAGGTGGAACTAGAGTTTGGCATTAGATATACAGCAAGTACTCAATAAATACTTGTTAAATGCTCAAGCAACATCTCTTAAAACCAATGGTGGGTGTTGGAAGAGTTCTCACTCTTTTACACATGGGTCAGGGGAACTGGGCTGTTTCCTACCCTTCAACAGTAAAAGCAAGAAGCCAACCCTTAGTGGTATTTGCATCTCAGAGTTGAGTGGATGCTAAGAACTAGCCAATTTTCTGAAAGACAAGCAAATCTGAAAAAGAGGGATTGCAGTGACTCGATGAGTCCTGCGATGCACCCTCTAGAAAGGTGTAAGTGCTGTGAACCACCCAGAGCCGAGAAGTAAACACCAGACTGCCCACGGAGCAATCTCCTAATATTGTCAGCCAAATGTCAGAAAGGGTCTTTAAAGATGGGAAGTCTCTTCAGCAACAAGTGACAAAAAGGAGGATCTGTAGTACCAGAAACCACACCATGGACTTGGCTGCCTGCTTATTTTCAACTCCATGAAAAATGCTGACGAAGCAAGCCGTGGTAGCACATGTAAATAGGGCAGAATTAATTCACAGGTGAAACAGATTTGGATGACACTGTCTTCCTCTTGCTGCTTCGGCATACTTTTCTGAGAGAAAATGACAGTAATGAAAGCACACTGAACCCAAACCACAGCAATTGTCCCCTGTTGATGACCATTTAGTTTTTGTTTACTTTGAATGAACACTGATCCTAATGGAATGATGAAAATATAATCACCCAGAATGCACACACTAACAGAAAAACCATATTCTCACCCCCAGTTACAGAGGTGTCCTTTCTTCTATTGCTCTCCCCATATGAAAACCACATGCAACCCCTCAACAGTCAAGAGCGAACCAATACATGTTTGGTGGCGTATCAAGGAAACTCCCTCTTACACATGAGGCTGGGATCTAGTGGATGAAAAGAAACTAAAGCACTCTGCTCTCTTCGTGCACATACGATCTTGGGAATCTGATGGGCCAATTCTGTGGCAATCAACCGTTGCATAACACAGTAGCAAGACAATTTCCCTACTACTACTCCATTTACAGAAATCAAATGTGTCTCCTACCTGTGATGGATAAGGTCTCGGAGGGAGTGCAGGTGGTGGGGGTAACAATCCTGACTTAGTAGCTGAAAAGGAAAACACAAACTGTTACAGACTACCCCCAATAAAGACAAAAGAGAAGCCTCTTGTGCTTGTTACCTAGGAGTAGCGATGGCATTTGCATTTAACATGTTTTCACTTTTTAAATCCTCTGAACGCTTAACTTTAAAAGAGAACACATTATTTCTCATTCCATTCTCATTTTCTCCCTACCCCAAATTCACCATTTACATAGGTTGTTATAATTAAAACAGTGTAAAGCAGTAAGGAAAAACAAACCTTTTTATCAACAGACAGCAGCCCTGCATGGGGAAGATGGTCAATTTCTCATTATTCTGATGCTATTTAGTTTCAAATAATACAGGCCAAAAGTCAGAAAGGGCCTTCTGTTTTTCTCATATTTCTCCCTAGCTCTAAACCACTTACAAAGCTCATTAGCCCAGTTATCAGGCTGTGGAAACTAAAGGAACTGGAACCCGAAGGAGGCAGTGCTTCAGCTCAGGGGGTGGTCCTGTGAATCCTCTGACAGCGGCAGGAAAAGCTGAAAGCGGTGGACTGAAATGATATTTGGGGAGTCTTCACAGACTTCAAAATTCCTCTCTCCTGGATTCATATTCTCAGAGATTACTAAATCTGTTTCTAAAATGATCTGACCACATTTGAAGGGTCTTTTGAAAGAAAGTTTCAGTCTAATTTTTAAAGGTTTTGTAAGATACAGAGAATATTTGAGTTAAGCGAAGAACATTTGAATTGCAATTTAGCAGTGAAATAAACAACTGCTATGAAATTATAAGTAAAGTTCATAAGCACACACCAGAAATAAGTCTAGCATCAGACACTGGTAAGTTAAATCACATTCATTACAAATTCCTTAGAAAAACACTACGACCTGTAACTATGTGTAGGGTTTTTTTTTTTTTTTTTTTTTGCACATTTGTAATACACGTGCTAATACCTGGACAATTTTCTGTGCTCTAAAAATATAGGTACAGCAATGTACTGAGAACATGAAAGCTTTTGCAAATAATTTTTTGAGTTGCCTGGTTGGACCAGACAAGCTAGAAGACGGAATTTGGTGCTTTCTACAAATGTAACTCAGAGTAATGTCACAGAGATTTTTATTTGGAACCAGTGCATGAATATGGCACAACTATGTGAGCTCATCTATGATCTCTCTCAATCTGTCTTTCATTAAAATTTATGAAACACATCAGTAGGTTAAAACTCCAGAAGTGGTGAGACTGTGAACAGCCCTCAATAACAAAGTATGCAGCAGGAGAGAATGCCAAAACCCTGCAGGAATTATCAGCTGCAAGGCTCCTGCTCTATAGGTCCTCAGAGATTGTGCCTTGAAATTGCAAGTTATTTTAAGAAACATAAAGAAGCAAATAAATGAACAAAATCTGTGCATGCTTCCAAAAAAAGGTCAAACAACTACCCCAGAATACAGTGTGTGTTAAAACAACCCTTCATTAACAAAACAGAACTGCCTAAGAAGTGATAAGCCATTTCACTAACTTCACTTCTGCTTCTGATCAACAAGACAAAGACCAAATTTACTCGCTCATTTGAAACACCCAAAAACAAACAGAAAAATCATAAGAAACCACAGTTTTGAAGACATCAGAACAAAACAGATACAACAGTAAAGACAGTAAAAATCAGGTAACAAAAGCCGATGCACTGTGACTTACTGTGCCTGCTCCACTGCTTTGAGAGTTACCAGAAACAGGACTTAGATCCAGATTTGGATTGGAGCAAGTTTTTATTTTTTACTTACTTAACACTTAAAAAGACAAAAGTCTTATTTTTCTAAAATATAATGTGTGGGTCAGTTTCTGAAAACAGTTTTGCAAAAAATTATATCACCTACAACACTTATTGGATTCATGAGTAATTGCAGATGCTGGCGAGGATGTGGACAAAGGGGAACACTTATACACTGTTGGTGGGAATGTAAACCAGTGCAGCCACCATGGAAAATAGTGTGGAGATTTCTTTAAAAACTAGAAATAGACCTGCCATATGATCCAGCAATCCCACGACTGGGTATACACCAAAATGCTTGAACACAATGAATCAGAGATACCTGCACTGCCATGTTGATAGCAGCACTGGTCACAATAGCCAAAATTTGCAATCAACCAGGGTGTCCATCATCAGATGAATGGATAAAGAAAATGTAGTATGTAAACACAATGAAATATGATTCAACTATAAAAAAGAATGAAATTCCATCATTTGCAGCAAAATGGATGCAACCAGAAGAAATCACTTTGAGTGAAATAAGCTGGACCCAGAAAGACAAATACCGCACATTAAAAAACAAACAAAAAAGAAATATCTGTATATCAGTATTGCTGCAAATATAGTCGTGTAAAACTTTGTTTTATATTTTTGTCAAACCAATGGTTAAGAATGTTATACTGCAACAGTTTTAATGATCTGTGATTACTTTAAAATTTACTGTATATGGGTGAAATGGCCATTTTTCCATTAAAATATTATTTATAGTCATTGTCTATATTCCCAATTAACTAGGGTCTTTTTCCTTTTCATTTGTTAGATATCTTATTCTATGAAGTATTAAGTCTTTTTACTGTGATGTGATTTTAAAATGTTATCTCAAAAACTAAAAAAGAGAGAGAGAAGAGGGTGAAGGGAGGGGGAAATGAGGGAAAGAGAAAAGGAATAGCAGTATGTTCTTGGAATTGTATCTACAAATCACACTGAATCTGTTAAAAACTAAAAAGAAAAAAGGAAGAGGGACAGATTGAGACATTTATGATCTTGCTCAGTCTCTAATTAGCTAGCACAAACAGCATCAATACATGGTCACTGTCGTCTGAATTTAGAGGTGATACTGTATCTCCATAACTCTAAGAAAGATTTGGGGGGTCCCAAATATCAAAACATAACGGCATGTTTATTTCCTCTTTTCAGTACTTTACCACTTTTTTCTTATATACCTAGCTGGAACATCTCCTGCAAAGTTGAATTTAACTATAATAAATGGTATATTTATACAACTGATCACACTGATAGGTCTAAGAGTCAAAGGGATCACACAAACAAGACTAGTGTCTGCTAATACTATCTGATAGAATTAAAAAGGGAGAGAACAATCCAACATGGGAAGCAGGATACACAGCAGACTCATAGAATGGCAGATGTCCTAAACAGCACTCTGGCCTCAGAATCAGCCCTTTGGCCTCAGAATCAGCCCTTAAGGGCAGATCTGGCTGAAGAGCCCATGAGAGTATTTTAGGCATGGAAAGCCAAGACACTCTGGCAAAAAAAAAAAAAAAAAAAAAAAAAAAAACACCACCTAAATGAAAGATCTCTGCAAGTGAGATTCCAGTAGAAAGAACAGGCCATCAAAGAAGGAAGTACCTTTCTCTGAAGGGAGGAGAGAACTTCCACTTTGACTATGACCTTGTCTAAATAAGACTGAAGTCGGCAAACTCAAAAGGCTTCCATAGCCTTGGCAACTCATGACAAGAGCCTAGGGAGATTAATGACGCCATAAACAAGAGTGTCCAATTGTTAAGTCAACAACAGGAGTCACTGTGTACTTACTCCTCATGTGGGATCTCTGTCCTTAATGTGTTGTCCAATATGAATTAATGCTATAACTAGTACTCAAACAGTATTTTACACTTTATGTTCTGTGTGGGTGCAAACTGATGAAATCTTTACTTAATATATACTGAATTGATCTTCTGTATATAAAGAGAATTGAAAATGAATCTTGATGTGAATGGAATGGGAGAAGGAGTGGGAGATGGGAGGGGTGCGGGTGGGAGAGAAGTTATTGGGGTGGGAAGCCATTATAATCCATAAACTGTACTTTGGAAATTTATATTTACTAAATAAAAGTTTAAAAAAATGGTATATTTGTTCTCTCTCAACTCAAAGGGAAACATCCAGTAGTTCATCAAAAAGTATGATGTTTTTTATAGGTTTGTTGTAAACACCTTTTAATATATTATCAAAATTATCATCATTGGGGCCGGTGCTATGGCATAATGGGTAAAGCTACCGCTTTCAGTGCTGGCATACCATATGGGCACTGGTTCAAGTCCCAGCTGCTCCACTTCCCATCCAGCTCTCTGCTATGGCCTGAGAAAGCAGTAGAAGATGGTTCAAGTCCTTAGGCCCCTGCACCCACATGGGAGACCTGGAAGAAGTTCCTGGTTCCTGGCTTTGGATCTGTGCAGCTCTGGCCATTGCAGCTAACTGGGGAGTGAACCAATGGGTGGAAGACCTCACTCTCCCTCTCTCCCTCTCACCCTTTCTTCCTCCCTCCTTCTCTCCCTCCCTCCCTCCCTCTTTCTCTACCTCTCCTTCTCTCTGTGTAACTCTGCCTTTCAAATAAATAAATAAATCTTTAAAAAAAGAAAATTATCACCTATTCTTATTTTGAGATTTTTTTTCAGGATAATTTGTGTTGAAATTTTAACCAAAGCTACAACTCCATCCATTGAAATGATGGGATAATTTTTTTTCCTGAGAATTGGTTAATGTGATAAATTACATTACAGATTTTCTAATACTAAAACATTCTTGCAGACCTAGGATTATTTCAAGTCAGTCAGGTTTTCATATCTGCTAGATTTAGTTGGCTAATACTTTAAGATTTTTGCAACCATATTCATGAGGGACACAAGTGACTTTCCTTTCTCATATGATCCTCTCATGCTTGTTTCTGGAAGAGGGTCTGTAAGGTTGGAAATTTTCTTTCCTTGGATAGCAGTAAAAACTTTCCAATAAAGCCATCTGGGCCTGGAGCTTTTCACCAAGATTTCTGATTACTAACTTCATGTTTTTAACTGTTATAGGACTATTCAGACTTTCTAATTCTTAAATCAGTTGTGATAAATGGTTTTTCCCTAGACATTTGTTTATTTTGTCTAAATTTTCAAATTTATTGGCATAAGGGTCTTCATACTCCCCTTTTACTATCATCTAAATGACTGTAGGTATAATTATCTATTTCCATTCATCATACTATTTGTATCATCGT